CTGTAGCCCTGTTGGGCTCCCTCCTCATGCCCCACAACCTCTACCTGCACAGCGCCCTCGTGCAGACGCGCCGCCTGCGCGCGCCAGACGACGCGCACCGTCGGGAGGCGCTCGCTTACTTTGGCCTCGAGTCGGCGCTGTCCCTGGCGGTGCGCACGCGCGCGCGCTGCGTTTGCGGTTTTTCGCTTGCATTTTTGGGAATGGGGCGGTTATCATGGATTAATTTCTCCGGGCTGAGTATTCATTGTGAGGTGCCTGCGTGCGTGTGTGATTTCAGACAGCGCTCGTGCGCCCGCGTGCTATGCCCAAGTTTGCATTTTGGGGATGCAGTGGGGCGGTCGTGTGGAACCCTTTGGCCCCGAGTCGGCGCTGTCCCTCGCGGGGCAAGCGCTTGCGCTGCGTTTGCATTCGGAGAGGCGGCTGGGTGGTTGAGTTCCGTGCGCGGGGTCAAGGGGTCACTGTGCGGATCCTGCTGGGCCCCAAGACGCGCGCTGCAAGCCAGGCGCCCCTTAATTGGGTCGACCAGCTAGCTGCCCTCGCCCAATCGAGGGGTGCGCGGCTGTTGGGGGCCAGAAAGTCGACCAATAGGCCGTCAAGCAACCAACCAACCGACCGACCGACCGACCGACCAACCGACGGACGGCTGACGAACCAACCAAGCAAGCAACCAACCAACCGAACGGCCACCCACCCGACCAACGTGCTGACAACCCGCAGGTGTCTGTGCTCATCAACACCTGCGTCGTGTGCGTGTTTGCTGCCGGGTACTTTGGCAAGCCCGGCCTGGATGACATTGGGCTCGAGAACGCGGGGCAGTACCTGGGGGCGACGTACGGCGCGGGCATCGTCGTGATCTGGGTGAGCGCGATCCGCGGTGATCTGGGCACGGCGACCCGCGCGCCGCGATCTGGATTTCCCCCAAGGCAGCGCGGGGAGCCGGGGCGTATCTGAAGCCTGGGGCCGTGCCAGCTTGTCTGCATGCGGCGCTCTCTGTTTCCACTGCCAGTGCAATTCAACCCCTGTTATTCACGGCCGTCAACCTTTTCGTGGAACGATGGAGCAGCTCCCCGGGGTCACTCGCCCTCCCGCCGTCCGTGACTAAAGCTACCCGCCGGCTTCCCCTAAATCACCCTCCCGCCGTCCGTGACTAAAGCTGCCCCCCGGCTTCTGTTGATTCTCAAACCTCTGACAGGCGCTGGGCCTGCTGGCTGCGGGCCAGAGCAGCACCATGACGGGCTGCTACACCGGCCAATTCGTGATGGACGGATTCCTCGCTTTCAAGGTGCGAGGTTCGGGGCGCGGCCGGGGGCTACGGCGGTTTTTTGGGCGGTTTTCTGTGTTTCGCCGGGTCGCGTTCGCAGCCGCACGCCGTGCCTGCGCGGCACTGCCCAGCCGCCCGCGAGTCCGCGAGTCGAGAGGGGACGTGGCACATGGAGGGGCCCCAGTGGGGTGTATACCAGAAATACAGACACAAGGCGGGTTACCATGGACGGCTTCCTTATGGTTGAGGTGGGATCCGAAACGCATGGGTGTTGGTGCTCTGCTGCACACAGACCAGCAGGCGCGCCGCTCGCCGTGGCAACCCTAAACCCTAAACCGGCGTAACCACCCGGCCACGCAGGTGTCCGCGTGGGTGCGCATCCTGGTGACGCGGCTGGTGGCGCTGGTGCCCACCCTGGCGGTCGCCTTCATCAGCGGCGGCGGCGCGGGCAGCACCTCCCTAGATCAACTCAACCAGATCCTGAATCTCCTGCAGAGCGTGCAGCTGCCATTTGCGTGAGCACTTGCCCGTCAATTTCGAATTCGAATTCATATCACGGTTGAAATCGGCGCGACGTGAATGGTGTCTGCTTGGATTGCAGGGGAGCTTGTAGCCATCTGCATGACACAAGCGCGTTGCACCCCCATAACCTGCGCATCACACGGCACCGGCCCCTCCCTTCACCCCACCCCATCACAGCACCCCCCCCAACCCCCTCCCATTTGTACTTTGCACACCACCCATGAACCCCACCCTACCAGGCTGCTCC